ATATATATAGTTTAAAAAATAGTCGTTGGCCCATTTGAACCGGCCCAGGCCGTCTGCCGGTCCCGGGCTAAACGGTCCCGGGCTCACGGGCTTTTTGGTAAGGACCGGCCCACTGTGGGCTTTTGGACCGCTAGAGACCGGCCTGTTTGAACCGGCCCGTTTGGCACGCTGTCCTGGGCCGATCCCGGGCTGGGCCCGGACCACAATACAGCCTTATTCCCAACAACTAGTATCAGAGCACAGGTTCTGCTCGTTCACAGAAATACTATTCATTGTCGGTAGTACTATATTCGGTGAAAAATAAAAATGTCCGAAGTAAAGTACGAGGTAGCAAAATTCAACGGAGATAACGGTTTCTCAACATGGCAAAGAAGGATGAGGGATTTGCTCATCCAACAAGGATTACACAAGGTACTAGATGCTGATGCCAAAAAGCCTGATACCATGAAAGCTGAGGATTGGGTTGACTTGGATGAAAGGGCTGCTAGTGCAATCAGGTTGCACTTATCAGATGATGTGGTAAATAACATCATTGATGAAGACACCGCACGTGCATTTGGACAAGGTTGGAAAGCCTATACATGTCCAAAACGCTGACAAACAAATTGTACCTGAAGAAGCAGTTATACGCCCTACACATGGGTGAAGGTACGAATTTTTTGTCACATTTAAATGTGTTTAACGGACTAATCACATAGCTCGCCAACCTCGGATTGAAAATCGAGGAAGAAGATAAAGCGATCTTGCTATTGAACTCGTTGCCATCTTCGTACGATAATTTGGCAACAACCATCCTGCACGGTATGACTACCATTGAGTTGAAAGATGTCACATCGGCTCTTCTACTCAATGATAAGATGAGAAAGAAGCCTGAAAACCAAGGACAAGCTCTCATCACAGAAGGTAGAGATAGGAATTATCAAAGGAGTTCGAACAACTATGGTAGATCCGGAGCTTGTGGGAAATCTAAGAACCGATCCAAATCAAGAGTCAGAATTTACTACAATTGTGATCAACCAGGTCACTTCAAAAGAGATTGCCGAAATCCAAGGAAGGGCAAAGGTGAAAGCAGTGTCCAGAAGAATGACGATAACACAACCGCCATAGTGCAAAACAATGATAATGTTGTCCTCTTTATAAATAAGGAAGAGGAATGCATGCACCTGTCAGGTCCCGAGTCGGAATGGGTGGTTGATACAGCAGCATCTTACCATGCCACACCGGTAAGAGATCTTTTTGCAGATATGTAGCAGGTGATTTCGGCACGGTGAGAATGGGTAACACAAGTTACTCAAAGATTGCGGGAATTGGTGACATTTGAATCAAGACAAATGTCGGATGCACATTGGTTCTAAAGGATGTGCGGCATGTACAAATTTGCGGATGAATTTGATCTCGGGAATTGCTTTAGACCGAGATGGGTACGAGAACTATTTTGCAAATCAAAAGTGGAGACTCACCAAGGGATCATTGGTGATTGCAAAGGGGGTTGCTCGTGGCACGTTGTACAGGACAAATGCAGAATATGCCAAGGTGAATTGAACGCGGAACAAAATGAGATTTCTGCAGATTTGTGGCACAAAAGAATGGGTCATATGAACGAGAAGGGATTGCAGATTCTTGCCAAGAAATCACTCATTTCTTATGCCAAAGGTACGACGATAAAACCTTGTGACTACTGTTTATTTGGTGAGCAGCATAGAGTCTCATTTCAGACATCGTCTGAAAGAAAATTGAATATACTTGATTTAGTATATTCCGATGTTTGTGGTCCAATGGAAATTGGATCAATGGGCGGTAACAAATATTTTGTTACTTTTATTAATGATGCTTTATGGGTTTATATTTTGAAAACCAAAGATCAGGTGTTTCAAGTTTTCCAGAAGTTTCATGCTCTAGTAGAAAGGGAGACGGGTCGAAAGCTAAAGCGTCTCCGAAGTGATAATGGAGGTGAGTACACTTCAAGAGAATTTGAAGATTACTATTCAAGTCACGGGATCAGACATGAAAAGACAGTTCCTGGAACCCCACAGCAAAATGGCGTAGCCGAGAGGATGAACCGCACCATTGTTGAGAAAGTGAGAAGCATGCTCAGAATGGCTAAACTGCCTAAGTCATTCTGGGGTGAAGCAGTTCAGACAGCCTGTTACCTGATCAATAGGAGTCCATCAGTTCCGTTGGCGTTTGACATCCCAGAGAGAGTTTGGACCAACAAGGAGGTGTCCTACTCACACCTGAAGGTGTTCGGTTGCAGAGTTTTTGCACATGTATCAAAGGAGCAGAGAACAAAGCTGGATGATAAATCTGTTCCCTGCATATTCATTGGATATGGAGATGAAGAGTTCGGATACAGATTGTGGGATCCTGTAAAGAAAAAGGTCATCAGAAGCAGAGATGTAGTCTTCCGAGAAAGTGAAGTTGGAACTGCTGCTGATATGTCAGAGAAGGCCAAGAATGGTATAATTCCTAACCTTGTTACTATTCCTTTTACTTCTAACAATCTCACAAGTGCAGAAAGTAGGACCAACGAGGTTGCCGAGCAGGGGGAGCAACCTGGTGAGGTTATTGAGTAGGGGGAGCAATTTGATGAAGGTGTCGAGGAAGTGGAGCACCCCACTCAGGAAGAAGAACAACCTCAACCTCTGAGGATATCAGAGAGGCCAAGGGTAGAGTCATGCAGGTACCCTTCCACAGAGTATGTCCTCATCAGTGATGAAGGAGAGCCAGAAAGTCTTAAGGAGGTGTTGTCACATCCAAAAAAGAACTGGTGGATGAAAGCCATGCAAGAAGAGATGGAATCTCTACAGAAAAATTGCACGTACAAGCTGATTGAACTTCCAAAGGGTAAAAGACCACTCAAATGCAAATGGGTCTTTAAACTCAAGAAAGGTGGAAATGGCAAGCTGGTCAGATACGAAGCTCGATTGGTGGTGAAAGGCTTCGAACAGAAGAAAGGTATTGATTTTGACGAAATTTTCTCACCTATTGTCAAAATGACTTCTATTCGAACAATCTTGAGCTTAGCAGCTAGCCTAGATCTTGAAGTGGAGCAGTTGGATGTGAAAACTGCATTTCTTCATGGAGATTTGGAAGAGGAGATTTATATGGAGCAGCCAGAAGGATTTGAAGTAGCTGGAATGAAACACATGGTGTGCAAATTGAACAAGAGTCTTTATGAGTTGAAGCAGGCACCAAGGCAGTGGTAGATGAAGTTTGACTCATTCATGAAAAGTCAAACATACATAAAGACCTATTTTGATCCATGTGTATACTTCAAAAGATTTTCTGATAACAACTTTATTATATTGTTGTTGTATGTGGATGACATGTTGATTGTAGGACAAGACAAGGAGATGATTGCAAAGTTGAAGAAAGATTTGTCCAAGTCATTTGACATGAAGGACTTGGGCCCAGCACAACAAATTTTGGGGATGAAGATAGTTCGAGAGCGAACAAGCAGAAAGTTGTGGCTATCTCAGGAGAAGTACATTGAACGTGTACTGGAACGCTTCAACATGAAAAATTCTAAACCAGTCAACACACCTCTTGCTGGTCATATGAAGTTGAGCAAGAAGATGTGTCCTACAACAGTGGAGGAGAAAGGGAACATGGCTAGAGTTCCTTATTCTTCAGCAGTCGGAAGCTTGATGTATGCAATGGTATGCACCAGACCTGA